TATATATATATATAGTAACAGCACTAATCTCGTTGTAGTTCTCCTTTTGAGCTGTAGGGGTCACTGCTGAGAAAATAACATCGCAACACAGCAGAAAAGGCACTAAAACAAGTATGGCAGGATGGAAGCACGCTCTTTATATACAAAAATAACTTTACAGTTTCAACCTATCTGCCTGAATTTTAAACAGCTTTCGAAGATGACATAATTATGATAGATGTTCCTTCTTGGGTTTAATTAGTCATACCTGTAGAAACAAACCCGCGACCTTTTCCTGCACTTCTTCCTGCTCTAAAACACAACTTTCCCAGCAGGTTGCTAAAACTGAGACACGCACAATCAGCTAGATCAACAATAAAGCGCTTCAAAAGCCACATTGCACAATATCGGTTTTAGTATAAAATAAAATTTGCGATTTTAAAACAATCAAAGACAAATTTTGCACGAAACGACATCAGCTAAATTCACATCCATCCCTTGTAAGACAAACATATCTTCAATATTTCATGTTTCTGTGCAGAGATTCCTTAATTTCAACTACAACATGAACGAGCACTAAGTTCACACAGAAAAGGACACACACACAGAGTGGATTCATCAATATTTCAGTGATGCAGCCCTGTTTGCAGAGAGATGAAGAGCGTTTTATCAACCTCCTCCACACAGACACACAAACACAGGCCTGAGTTTCTGCATCCAGGCTTTGTTCTCCTCTGATTTAACAGGAAGTTAGCTTAAAAACAGGAAGCATTGTTTTACTTGTCGGCTACAACTGAGTGAATGTGTTTTCTTTATAGGGAGAGATAAGATTTAAAGAACAGTCAGAGGTTAAATGCACACATATATGTGTGCATGCACATGATTGTATGACACTTCCTCTGAGGTCATGGTCATTGTTGTTCATCCTGCTTTCTGATTGGCTGAAATCCACCAGCAGGGTGTGCACGATTATGGACCGAGTCAAGCAAAAGCAAAAGTAAAGGCAGATAATTGAACTTATGTCATAAAGTCTAATAAAGTCTACCTTTGTGTTTTGTGTCACGATTCAAAGAAACTTTCAAAGGAGAGGCGTAAAAATGACGCTCGCTGTGATGAGAGGCGCAGCGAAGAAGCAGAGATGGCAAAGTTTTGACCCAGAAAAGTGGATCTAAGAATAGTCCAGTGAAGAGTCGTTCAGAGCGGTCCGCTTGACAAGAAGCTGCTGCTCGACGAGAACCGGCTATGTGCCTGTTTCATAACTGAGCAAAGCTTAGCCGTTTTGTTCATGAGAACATTGGGACAACCTCAGATCTGTTGAAAGGAAGAAGTAACCGGTTGTGCGGGTGATCGCAAAAGGAACGTTTAGTGTGACAAAATGTTAAATGCTTGTTGATCATTTCTAAACCATCTCGACTCACAACAAAATATCTTCTTCTTCCTCTCTTCATCTCGGTTTAGAGCCCCGGGCCGTTCCGAAAGCTGATCCAGCAGCGTCTCGTGTTGAGGCTGCAGGATCGTAGAGTCCAGTGACTGTTGTTCTGCACGAGTGACTCATTGACGGGATCTGCCCATGAATCAGGGCGGCTAATGACTGTGGCTCTGACTCGGTCTTTGGTTGCTGGCGGCCTTTGTTGCATGAATATAAAGCGAAAAATTTAATTTTAGTCTAAGCTGAGCTCCAGATCAGACATCTAAAGCAGCTGTTTATATGGTATTCTTCTAAAGGGAAAAGCTGAAGATTTCTATGATTAGCACAAAGAGTAAGGAGTTTAGCGTTTGGGTCTGTCACGGTAACAAATTTTGCCGGGCAATTAATTCTCTCAGAAATTATTGCAATAAATGAAAATATTGTGTGAAATTTGACAATAATTAGTAATTATTGTCAAATTTAAGAAGAAATGTTGGTTAATTTGTTTTGAGTGTAGTACCTTTTTTCGACCACTGGATGGCAGTATAAGACAGTCTGAACCGAAGGATGGATAGTGAGGGAGCGAGCAGCGTGCCTCTTTAAGAAAAATGGGAGGGAGGCCCCTTGACGTGACATGGGCTGTCTCTCTTTTCTTTTTTCGGTTCTCAAAATGGCGGCCGCTCGGTGTGGTTTGAGCTTGTTAGCATAGCATTTTTCACACAAAGCTTTTAATTAAAAAAATCAGTAAACAAGTTCTCAGCTTCTTTTTGCTGAGAAAAACAACTTTTTACACGAAGGCACGGGTGTCAACCGTGAATATTGGAGCTTTGACAAGACCGAGGTTTATTACCGAGGTCAGCCTGTTAGCTTAGCTCGTAGCTTAGCTTCTCAGCTTAGCTGCTTTTAACGATTCAAAAACGCTATTTTAGACGGTTAAAATGGATTTTAAAGAGAAAAGAGAAAGGGAGGGGTCAGTGAAGAGCACCGGAGATGAGCCTTTTGTCATCCAGTGTCTTCAACAGAAAGAGAGAGACACAAAGGAACGATAAAGCCGATAAATGAAAATGAGGTCGATAATTTTAATTTATCGTGCAATTAATTGATTTATTGTTTATCGCGACAGGTCTTCACTTGGTTGATTATTTCTTTGTTGTAACAAAGCTTAATGACAATAACTCTTACAATGCTTGAAAGTCTGTCAATGTCCCTTTAAATGGTGGCACAAATGGAAAACAGCTTGTGGCTGTGTATGGTTCTTCCGCATGCTACCGAGTCTACACTTTGTTAAATTAATAATTTGTTAAACTGCTGATATGTCTTGTGTCTTAAGGCTTCAATCATCAGGTCTATTCCCGAGGCTCAATGGGACTAACCTGTAGAAATAAAGGTTGAGTGAATCCAATCCAATGAACAACAACAAACAACAACACCAAACCAAGCATTGGTCGAGAAGATTTGGAAAGTTTGTTAAGGGCGCAACCGTCTGCTGCTCGACCCATGAATCCAAATCAGCCACCGTTTAAGGAGAAATAAACACAATTCACAGATATTGTGCTAAAATATGGCGTGGTTGTTGTTTAGAGTCATCTGCAACACGTGCGTGTGACATTTTGCAGTATCACATGAAATGGCGCGTGATATTAATTTCAAGGTTCGACCAAAAGAGCTACAACTTACAACATGAGATGAACTTAGTCTAGAAGTCTGGCATGAAAGGCAGCGCACGTCATGCGTTCCTTCAAGAGACTCTAGGCCTTAAATGGCAGAAGCTGTTTTCAGACAGCATTTTATTTTGATACAGAATTAAGAAATACTCTTTATTTCTACCAGCAATCACACGATGTAAACTATTTGCTGTTTTTTTTTTTTTTTATTGATTGCCGTTTGGTTCATGTCTCTCTTTGATCTTGTGAGGAAACTGTGCTTTTAGTTTTTCTTTGTTTTTTGGAATTCAGAATGACAAAAGCTGAGGAAGAATGGATGGAGAGAAGAAAGAAAGAAGAACAATACTTCAGTAGGTGACCAGCAGTACTCCCGGGTGGACTCACCTTGTACTTGGCGGTTAGCTGTTCGGTGGCTTCCTGCTCCTTCCTCAGGTCCCCCATCATCTTTTCCTTCTCTCCCAGAAGCCTCTGCTTCTCCTCAGTCATCAGGAACTGGTCCTCTCTGATGGCCTCTTTCTCCTTCTCCAACCGCTCTTCCTCCATCTTCACGTATTCTTCTGCTTCCTTTTCCATCTCCCCCTCTTCACATTCAGTATCTTCATCTCCACCATCTCTGTCACAGCTCTCGTCGTCCAGTTGTTCCTTCTTCTGCTTGCTCCTCCACATCCTGTGGTTGAGCTGGGCTCGGAGACGAGCGATCTCCTTTTGAAACTCGCGGAGCAGAGCGTCTTTGGGGTCCTCGTTGACCCTGGGCTGGTTCTGAATGTTCTTAGCGCGGTTGGCGTAGCGGAGGGTGGTGAGGGTTTCATCGTAATGCTGAGGAGCCGGGCCAAGAGTAGCAACCATGACCGTCTTGGCATTCCCGCCCAACGAGTCCTGCAACAGGCGGGTCAGCTTGGAGTCCCGGTAAGGAACGTGGCTGCTGCGTCCATCTGCCAAAGCTGAGATCACATTCCCCAGAGCTGACAGAGACAGGTTGATCTTGGCGGCTTCTTTAAGGCGCTCTCCCTGGACGCCGGTCTTGGCTTGGCGTTCGCTGCCAGCCAGGTCCACCAGGTTGAGGCGCCCCACTCGAATATGTTTCCTCCCATCTGGTCCAGGCTGGCTGCATTCCACCGTGATCAGAAACAAGGCGTGGGACCTGGACGAATATTCATTCATATCCGTCGTCCCCACCGCTCTCGCCTGATTGCCCACGTTCATCACCTCCTCAATCTCCTTGATGCTTTTGCAGACACATGATGTGAGATCCTGGACATAGACCCTGGTCTCTGGACTCTCCCTGAGCTCCAGGCCTCTGGTGTTACCATGGTTAGGATCAAGGAGGTCACGGATCTCCTCTCTGTAGATCTCGAGGTAGGACGCTCGGACCAAGTACTGCTTGTCAGACTGCGAGCGGGAGATGTGCGTGAAGATGTGGTCGAAGGCATTGGGAATGACACCTTGCTTCTCTGGGTCCAGCCAGGCTCCTTGCATGGTGTACGTCTTTCCAGTTCCCGTCTGCCCATAAGCGAAGATGGTGCCGTTGAACCCAGCCAGCACCGAATCGATTAGCGGTCGCACGCTTTCGTCATACAGCTCCCTCTGTTTGGAGTTGGCGTCGTAGACGGCGTCGAACGTGAACGTCTTCTGGGGCTCGCTTGGGGGTGCTCGAGGGTTCCTGAGGATCACCTGTCCCAGACGCAAATCCATCTGCACAATCCCTCCAGCAGGCCCATTGGACTCCTCTTTACGGTTCAAGGGACGGCATCGAACCACCACCTTCACCGACTCGCTGCTCTTATTCTTTGACATGATTGTATTCTCTTTGTGCTTTCTGGATTGAAACAGATCAGAACCTTTTCTTTAGACAATATGACATTTGTGTGCGATGAATACAAAAAATAATAAAACATCATAAACAACAGATTCATCGTGGCTTCTTGGTCTGATCACAGTAGAAACAGTGTTTACCTCTACAGACATGGAGAGCCCATTGCACCTCTGGTTCTCTTGCGTTTTGTCTGTTTTATTAGCCGGACGGTCAGAACCTCTCACGCTTTGGACTGACGCTCCATTGCAGAACCCGTCCAGATCCGCTCGCCTCGGATGGATGAGGGAAAAACCCAACAATGCCCGGAATGACACGGATCAGTCCACACATCTTCCTCCGGCCGTCATGCCCGTTCCTTCCCGGCAGCGACGCTCCGCTCCGCGGTCTGCATCCTCCTGACGCTCCGAGCTGCCGCTCCAAAACGCGCACATCCAGAGGCACGCGCACCCCCGCGCGCGCACGCAAACACAGTCATTTAAACCACCACACCCTACATTACTGCGGAGTCCCACATGGCATCACGGGAAATGGAGTTTATTAGATTCTTGCTCAAGGCTGCCACCATTCGGTAATTAATAATGGTTCGTTCGACAAAATTAACTATTTACAGTCAACTGTGTCTGTTAGCAAAATATTTTATGCACCACTGGATGGATTGTAGTGAAACTTGCAGGATATTAGCTTTGGATGCACAGCTGTTAACACAAATAAAGATGGCCGCCACAGCCAACTGGTATCAGCAAAATTAAAAGGGCTTTAACTCTGTCAGTTTTACAATTAAGCTAAAATGGGGCGAGGTAGTAGCTGAGAGTCACCTCCAACACACACTTCAAGTGCTACTCAGTAAAATGTTTGCTTTAAACGAAAGCGTTGCATTTTAGAGTCAACCCTGTTTCTCTGTTAGCAAAATATCTCATAAACCACTGAACAGATTTGAATTACATTTGTTGGAAATTAGCACTGGATGCAAATATAACTGACTATTTGGAGTCAACCCAATTCAAGAAAGTAAACACAAATATGCCTATAATTCTGTGGATTATACAGATATGGAGCTAACACAGTGCTGATAATAATTATTAAGTATAAGTATTAACCCATACCTTGAGCCTTACATGTCATTTAATTTTATGTTCAGGTTTGACCAAAACTCAACAAATGTGCCTTTTCTCTTCATAAAGAGCTGGTTTTAATCTAAAATGCTGTCGTGAAAGACGGTGAATGATACTCATCCCTTTAAATACAGCTAGGCCTTAAATATTATTTTGTATTTTATTGTGAAGCACTGTTTGATTTTTTTCATCTGAAAAAGGTGCTATATATACCACAATCCTTTTAAAGAATAGACTTAAATTAAGATGAAAATGTTGAAATAAGGGCTTATTCAGGATCAAATACGTTCATCTCAAAGTGGTTCCAAGTTTTTAACAAACTCAAATGAACTAAAAAAGGTGCAATATGAGCTGAAGTCAGATAAGTGTGCAAAAAGTATTTTTAATTAACTCAGTTCTCCTGGTAACTTGTGTAACTGGCTTTTGAAAGTTTCTCGCAATTAAAATGAATGTAATCGGCGAAATTAGATCTGTTTGCAGACTTAACTGATAAAAACATCACCCAGGTGCTATAAATAATTCAATTCGATAAATAAATAAATGACAAATAAATGAAATAAATAAATAAATATGCCACTAGATTCAGCAGTTTCCTTCTCATTTCCAGCTGAAACAGAGTCCTGTTTATGCAGTTTTTGGATTTTTAAAAGGAATTATCCGCATCCACCTACCACATATTGATGGTAGCTTCCTAGTTATTACATAACTAAACAGTACAAACAGAGGAAATTGTGGGGAAATCCAAAATCAATCATTATGACTTTTTTAACCACCTCAATGTGACACCACAGCGTCCTCTGGTGCAGTGAGTGCAGCACACGCGCTTTATTTGACCTACAGTTGGCCAATGTCACCGATGAGGTCAGAAAATTTGCAGCAACAAAGATTTATATGTAAGCTTTTAGGTTCATTATTTGTAATTTAGGATTATTACAATTTAAATTATGTGGTTGTTTCAGTGCTGATGACTGATCAGAGAGGAAAATACTTGAACCACGCGGGGAATTCAACCCGACATATTTGTTTTATACGAGAAACCAGATGAAAATGACGTTGCTTCCCGTTAATACTCCACCTGACTGATAGCTCTCTAATCTGCTCACAAACCAAATGTGAATGTAAACAGCTGAGTGAGTTTTACAGCCAACTCTGAAAAGTCCCCCAAAACTATTTGTGTGATGCAATCATCCCATTTTTAGGCCTCATTGTCGATGTTTTACAACTATAAAGAATAATTACAAATAGATACAAACTATTCATTTGTATCTATTTGTAACTGTTCATCTGATGAAATGAGGTCAATTTGTCCTCCACTAGTCTATAGCAGCATAGGATAAGGAATAGGTCAGGAAACCAAGTTGACTTTATTTTTTAATCTTTATTGAAATAATACAAAACAATATAATGAAATGCAGTATACAGTAATGAAATAACATCCAACAGGGGGTTACAAACACTGAGACAATACAATAACATATTACATAAATATATTAAAGAGAGCACATAAGGTGCAAGTTTTAATGGTCTTTGTGTTGGTGGAACATTTATTTTGATATATTGTTTGACCTCTTTTGAGGTTTTTAATTAGTGTAACAGCATTTATGAATATGCCATTTTTTCTAGGTATATAATAAGATTAATAAGATAGAACTGTTTTTCTTTAGCTGTTGGGTAGTCAGTGAAACCAAACAAAACATGTTCAAAGCAAAGTGAGAGATAAACCAAGCTGACTAACTACAGGATTTATCAAAAAGGAAAGACTTAATTAAGTCCAGTCTTAAAAGTGGACAATGTGTCAGCCCCATGGACAGAAACACAAGAGACGAGCCTGATAACTGAAAGCTCTGCCTCCCATTCTGCTTTTGGAAACTCTAGGAACCATAAGTAAGCCTGCAGTCTGACAGCAAACTGCTCTATCAGGAAAATATGGAACAATAAGATGGAGCTAGGTTGTTGAGGGTTTTGTATGTTAGAAGTAAGATTTTGAATTCAGTTTTGAATTTGACAGGGAGCCAGTGGAGAGAAGCTCGGTTTTGCAAACAAAAAAAAAAACAACTTGAAAAAGTCCAAAAAACAAAGGTTTTTATTTTTTGGACACTCAGATAACAAACCATTGCAATAGTCCAGCCTAGATGTGACAAATGCACGAACCAGTTTTTCTGCATCATTTTTAGATAAGATGTTTCTAATTGTAGTAAATTTTTGAGATCATCAAATCATTGCCTTCAATCTAAAATGCACAATATGTCAAGAGTAAACAAATTGTCTCAGACAAAAACTTTCAATTGCAAACAAAATAAAAGGTTTATGCGTGTTATCAGGCTAATGCAGCTCTCTTTCCTTTTAAATATTCCAGGTTGTGTTTAACCAAAAGTTAAAAAGTTCTATGCAATCAAACATAAAGTTTATCCTGAACTATATCAAATGGTGCAGTTTAAAGTTGTTTTCCTGATTAATTGAAGTCTGATTTGCAGGTCCACACTAAACGTAAACAAAGCCGAACTTGTTGAAAACCATGTGGAAACTCGAGGTACATAACCGCCCTGTACGAGTCTGTGTAACAAATGCCACTGGTAAATTTGATGTTTGATCCATGTTCAGCCTTTTTACCCGTTTCCATTGATAACAAACGCTGATGGTAGATGGCAGTCGATCAGAAAATTAGCTTAGAAATGATCAACTTAAGGACACAGGATACAAAAAATATTGTGCAGATTTTATTTTAATTTGGTCTTCATGACTTTGCAACGAGAACCTTTACCTCAACTACCAATACCTGAACTAAAACACCAGCTCCCAAACGAGTTGAAAAGGAGGTGCCGTGGATGCATTACCGTCTACCTGGAGGCGGTGCTCAAGTGCCTATCGGGAAACGCGGCTCGTGACAGCGGGAGGACCGAGATCGTCCCCGGCACCTGCAGTTAAGACCGTGGTGACGATGGGCTCGGCAGGCTGCTGGGAGAAATGGCGCTCGGGGAAGAGTTCTGCCTAGTCCTGCTGCCCAAGAGGACCGAGAGGTCTGCTGGGTCTGGGTGGCCAGATGCAGCCAGTTTCAGACTGCTACAAGAGATCCTTCCTGCCCAAAGCCATCAGCATCTAGAACAACTCTAATGAAACCAGGATGATGAGCTACAACAATTAATTCCCCTTTGGGATTAATTAAATATTTTTTGATTTTATTTAAAACTTTTAAAATAAATCATTTGGACTTTGGTCATAGGTAGGCTCAAAGGCAGAATTAGGGAATAAATGTAATAATCAAGTATTTGTTTTAGTTCCAACAGAAAAAGGTTCAGTAAACTTTTTTTTTGTTGTTGTTTTGGGGTGGGGACAACTGATTTATATGCATAGCACATACTGCAGCTCAGCTCCGTCGCCTTTAACCCCCGCTCATCCAGCTTCCTAACCCTTTAAAGCTGCCAAATAAATACCAAACGTCCCTAAATACATACGTTTTCTAACAAATCAGGCACTTATAGATTCTTTTACGACGTCAGAGCAGGAAGAAATGTGAGCGGTAGTCGCTGCTGTGTGCGATGAACCCTGGGGCCCCTTGCAGAAAAAAAGAATCCAGGAATGCATCTGGATCTGAAAAAACTCCAGCGCTAACGCGTGATTTATTTATTAGAGTAACAAACGTGGCTCAACTGCGGAGGAGCTGTGTAAGAGTTGAGTGAAAACGGATCTTAGTAAGTTTGATTAAAACAAACCGTGTCAGCGCTGACGAGCTGCTGCGTGTTGACCTCTGACTTCACTTAAACAAAATCCTTTTCAACTTGTTCTTTATTTCCCTCTTGGCCTGAAAGATTTGAGTCTGTTTGCATTTTTTGCACAGACAGCAGAGTTGCACATTTAATCTACGCACAAATCATTTTTTACAACTTTCTCCGAGAGCAAGTTTGTTCAAGACTTTTAAAGGAATGCACGTCGCCTGCTGCCTTGCATGCCAAACGTTTACACTAAGATCATCTTAGGCTGAGAGGCGACAAAGTTGTAGTTGTTTTGGTCAAATACTGAAGCTAACTTTAACCGCAACAGATATCACACTTATTAATGACTCACAGCTACTACCACACCAAATTTTAGCTCAACATCTGTAATACTGGCCGAGTCATAGCCGATTTTGCGTTGGCTACATGAAACTCTGTCCAGTAGTTCATGAGATATTTTGCTAACAGACAATCAGGGCTGATACCAGAGTTAACGAGAAAGATTAATTGATCTTGAACAACAAGTAAATTACTCTCAGCAACTACAACAAAGTCACTACCTGTAAAACTGAGTCATGGTTATTTGTGCATCAGTTGGATGTGGCGGCCATCTTGAACTAGGTTGTCTTCGAAAGTTAATTGGTGACGACTTTCTGCTAGTTTAATTAAAATTCATCCAGATGATACGATGTTTTTTTCTAACAGAAACACACATATTGATTAAAAACAGTACTGATAATAACTGTGTTTATTCGTGTTCGTCATTATCTTAGTGTTATATGTTTTCCAAGAATGTCCATCATTTGCTTCCTGTCGGTGCTTGTCTTTGAAAGACCTTGCCAGTAAAATGAAAAAGAGCTGAAATGTCCCACAGGATGAGGCCTTGCCCGTCCTTTTTCTTTTCTTTTTTTTTTAAAGCATGCATACCAATAAAGCACATCTTGATATTGTTATTCTAGTTCCTGTTTTTTTAAACTAGCACCATAAGGTCAGGCTTTAATGTCCAGTTTTTGTTTTCTGTTTAACAGCAAAAAGCTGTCATTTATTCCTTTAGATCATTTCTTTTTTTTAAATTCTTCCTCAGTTTATGTCAAGTCTGTACTTGGCAGCAGAAAGCAGGGCATACTGAGCATTCCCGAGTCTGAGTCAAAGTACTTTGACAGGCAGAAAAAGGAAAGTCCAGTACTAAAACACACATTGTAATGGTGTGTACACGCAGATCATCTCTCAGTGTGGATAGTTATTAAAAAGTCTTAAGAGGATAAATGATCATGCAAGTTCTCTGGGTAGAGGATGTGGGAAACGCCCGTAACAAGCACAAAAGTACTTATATGACATCACTTTGCCTGACTCACAGCTGGGATAGTCCCCGCACCAAGTCCTTGCTTGCCAAGAAAGCTTAAACACACCCTGGTGGTCAAAGATCCGCATGAAACCAGCCTCCATGTTGGATCAGCAGCTCCACATCACAGTGAAAGGCGATGGGACCTCTGCGCCTAAATGTCCGAGGAACTCGCGCAGTAGCATTTGCCCTTTCTGTCACTCTAAGACACGCCCCTTTAATTCAAGTTTGCAGTTTAAACCAATCATATTACGCAATTGTTTTGAGTGGCAGACAGAGCAGCCAATCAGAAACGTATAACTTGACAGGAGGCTGAACAAAGGCGTGGCATTCTGAGTAGGGTGTCGTCGGGAGGCTCCCATTCGAAGGCGACGGCGGTCGTCTGTATTTCTGTCCTAATCTCTCCAGAAAAGCGAAATTCCACCGAACAGACAGTGAATTCGACTAATTTCGATGTGCGGCTCGTTACCCATTGTTCTCGGCGAAGCTCTCGGCAGGGCTCTGGAATGACGGCGTGTGCGGAGAATTTGAATTAGCTCGCCGTTAGTTTGAAGAAAGACCGAGTCCGGGGTAGAGACGGAGAGAGGAGCCATTTTGTCCCGACTTTGTGTGTGTGTGTATGTGTGCGCGCGCGTGTGTGTGGGAGAGAATAGAAAAGAGTGGCAAATAGGAATCGCACGGGAAGACATTCTATTTTTGTGCTTTTTTTTGTTCTCTTGCTGTAGTGGGAAGGAAGCAGTCGGGCCTGGGATTTTGAACTTCTCGGACACGGGCACGCTTTTTTGGGTGGCATCAACAAATCCCAGATTGTGTGACTTGGAGCGGGCTGGAAGGCGCTGGCTTTAGACTTCCCGTGGGCGTGTTAGTTTAATTTTTTTTTTATTTTTGTATTAGAGTGAACGCATACTAGTTTTCAATGGCGAAAAAGACGTACGACTTGCTGTTCAAGCTGCTTCTGATCGGGGACTCGGGTGTCGGGAAGACCTGTGTGCTGTTCCGCTTCTCTGACGACGCCTTCAACACAACCTTCATCTCTACCATAGGTAAGACGACCACCGAACGGAAAGGCACCTGTGTTTGTCTTCACAGGTGTTCCTGACAGGGCCAAACTTGTGCCAGAAGAGGTTTGACAGCTGGGAAAGTGTGACCCCATCATGCAGCTGGAATGGTAGGCTGGACGTGTTAGCTAGCTAGCTAGCTAGCTAGCCGCTATGCTAGCATGCATCTTTTCTCCTGGCCTGGATGACCACCTGAAAACTATTTGTCCAGTTAAAAACAAATCATTCACCTACGCCTGATTAAGTCACTACATCAATAAAATAACTTTAATCAGTTTAGTTTGACTCTTAAGTCAAGTTGAGGCATTGCTGTCTTGTCGGTGGCTAACGGTTTGTTAGCGCTGCAGGCCCGTGACGCTAGCGACTTGTTAGCATCGTTTACTTGACACGAATAAAACTAATTGTAATAACTGTATTTCTACAAGTGATGTCTCAAACTGAAGTGACCAAACCACAAGTTAAAAGTACTTGATTACAAGTTTAACAACCTTCATTTGTAACTGGTTCAGTATCCTGTGGCCGGTGAAGCTACTCTTTAGTCTCACAGAAGCTAACGTTGTTAATGACATTAGCCTGTTTTTGTCAAATTTAGGGTAAGGACTGGTGCTGTAGAAAAGTAAAAATTCTCAAAGCACCAGACAAAATAAGTCAGGTCAGTAGACATTCAATGTTGCATTAAAAAAATATAGTTGCCCCCTTTTCTTTGGTTTCATACCTAAAAGTAATTATTGCAGTTTTGTGTACGTTTTAGCACAGTTAAGATTGCTTTATGCCTGAACAATTTAGTTTTGAGACAGCCCAGCTTGTTTACAAAAGGAGAACAGTTCAATTTTGACGAGCTAATCAAATTAGAAAAGAGGATCTAGAGAGAGTTTAGTGAATTTTTTGAGATATACAAACTGTTTTAGTTGGGGACATCTGTAATGGTTTGGTATAATGGTACATGTAGCAATAGCAAAATCAGTAAGGAGGTAAAGTCATTTGTGAGGATACATTTTGGCTACTCACGTCATGACATTAACCATAAACAGGGACTTTGTCTTCAATGCCTTGTAGTTGTTGTCACAACATGACGTAAAATGACTAATTTGTTAAATCAGTAGGACCACAAAGCTCTGTGGTCCAAGTGCAGAGGCAGATCCACTGCTTGGCAGCACGACTGCTCAGTGGTTTGCACTGCTACCTCACAGCAAGAAGGTTGTGGGTTCAGACCCCAGTTTGAACCTGAGGTCTTTCTGTGTGGAGTTTGTTTGTTTGCGTGGGGTTTCTCTGGTTTCCTCCCACAGTCCAAAAACATGCATGTTAGGTTGCCTTCAGGCAGGCCTCCTTTGCAAAAGAGATCTATGATCAATGGGATTTGCCTGGTTAAATAAAGGTAAAATAAAATAAGCTCTTAATGCAGTCCAGAGCATAAATAAAGCAGTTATGATTTAATTTTCCCCACGTTAATTATTATTTTGTCCTTAAATTAAAAACTTGTATGTAAATGTGCTACTAAATGCCAACTATGAAGTGAGTTTGTTTACCTACAGAAAGAGTCAAAGTGACTGAAAATAAGCCACGTTAAACTTTATCGTTCTAAAAGGTTTAAAACCTTGGGTTTGAAAGCTGAGCTTTTTAATTATGGTACTCCATCGCCCTGCGTGACCCCTGGTGTTTCCACCTTTAAAAACAACAATTCAATATACAATAAGAAATTCAATCACAAATGAAATGAAAGGCGGCAGAAAGAAGAAAAAAAATCTTATATCTGCCCCTTTATACCACAAAATTAATTCAAACAATAATAATCTTCAAATAAATCTATATAATTCCACCTTAACGTCTTTGAGATTGTACACTTGCCCAATTCACCATATTTGTTTACATACACACAGTACTGCCAACCTAATGTAGGTCAGTCATGTGACTTAAGCTTCCATGTGGTTTTTGGTGGATTCAGCAGTGTTTTGTTTACATTAAGTGTGGACCTGCATTTCAGAATCACATTAGATATAGCTGCAGTGCTTTGAAAGTTCTTGGAAGTTCTTAACAATTAATTTGCAAAAGTAATGGAATTAAAATAAAATAAAAAAATCATAATTTTGAAAATGAATTGTATTCATCTTGACTCTCCACAAATAATTAATTCATTTTTCTTAGCTCATGCAGTCCTAACGCCAAGAAATGAGCAAAGTACCTGTAATTTGAGGTAAAATACATATTTGGTTGTGTGCTGCTCCAGTGAGAACTTTAATCAATCCAACGTGGTGACATCATCAACTTTTTCTCGTCTATGCTTGCGTCTAAAATCACACTTGCATGAGTCAAGTGTTATGTATGTCAAATCCCATCACGGCCCAAGTGTGCGCTCCATTTACACCTGCTGCTTAAGATCAGTATTGAGTAATAAATAATACATTAGAGCTGTTGTTCTGGTCGACAGAGTTTAGCATTTGCCGTTCCCCAAATTTGGGATTTATTTCCAGTTCAGGCTTTTGGTGACTTTGCTAGACTATTTTATTATGCGAACAGCTGTTTGGTTGCAGAGCCCGCTGTTACTTGTAGACTTTTTTATGATTTTAGCTTTGCTTTGACTTGCACTAGTGTTTGTGCTTTAGCACGCCCAGTCTCCTTTCTGAAAATAAGTTTCAAGCTGGACACAGCTGAGTAAAACCACTCAGTCATATCATTTTAAAGATGTGTTGGCGATTAAGCACATTTGGGACAGCAGTGCAGACAGATTCCTCAGCAGGTAAAGACCTGTAGTAACCTTTGCTCCTTCGAGGGGGTAAATTAGTGCCTGAGAGTTGGCGACAACAGGTTTTCTGATTTAATTTAGAGAAATGTGGAGATGAAGGGTCTACACTTAGCAAGATGTCTTCCTTTAACATAGAATGTATAATTCTGTTCAGTTTAAGCTCAAGAGGCAGAAATAAATGTTCTGTTTGAAATTACTTATGTTTTCACTGCTTATTAACATATTTCAGACCTGCTCAAATGATCTAACAAACCGTTAACAGGAGCAAGTTTGCCAAAGCTTTTACATGAATCAAACTGCTTGGGTGTGAAACTGGGAACACGCTGCAGCGGGTAAACATTCTGCACACCTTCCAGCAGCAAACTTCAGTAACAAACATGGCTGCACTGTGAAGGTTACTCCTGCATATCTTGCTGATCATCAGCGCAGCGTGAGCAACCAGTTGTGGGGAGGGAGACGATCGGCACGGCTGTCTCGGGTGGGAGTTTGTAAAACGGGTGAAGAATAAATTGGTGTTGTCGGGGATTTTCAACTCTTCATAACTCGACAGGCAACTGAGCGTTCATGGGCTGCTGTAGTTCCCATTACTCATATAGGTGAGTAACCGTGAACTCTGACGCTGCATCACAGAATGAATGCAGGGAGTGTAGTTCCAATAAACACATTCACATAGTTGTCAAACTACTACTGTACCCGGTAATCCAACAAATATGTTTGTTTTTTTTCTAAGATGGTATGTAAAACCTTCCAACATAATCACTTTCCACAATCTTAGGCACTTTTGTATTTTTTTCCTTTGCACTTTAAACATCCACTTCAAGTTGTTTGACAAATTCGTGCATCGAAGAAAAATGTGTTTTTGTGAATATGATGCTTGTTTATAACTGCAGTTTTAAGAGAGATGTAGGTTTGATATTCTTCCATATATCTCTTGTTTCTGCCCCATCCATAACGTCCTGGACAACTGAACCAACAAAAAAGTTGTTACCAAGTGATTTTAACTGCATTTATTGTTTTTCAGAGTTGGTTTCTTTGTCATTCGCACCACACGTGGTACATGTGGTGGAATGAAATTATGTACACAGGGTCCCAATTACATCCAACAGTAAAATGTAAAAGAAAAACAGTAATAACATCTAAGATATGAACTAAGAAAAACATCAACTAAAAATACACTAAGAACTAGATGCATAAAAAACATTAAAATATTTTGATGCGCATCCCAGGGTTTTGTAGTGAGGGGTAAAGAGGAAAAATAAAACATTTTTTTTTACTCAGACTTTAGAGACTTAAGCAAATATGTTTTTGTTTTTTTTAATGGCAAGATGACCTCAGCGCATTAACGAACTTTGCACAGATGTTCCAGTAAGTTTAATGTAGAAACTGTCCATTTGTAGTTTTAACTCTGTCTGAAATGTTTGGCAGCAGTTGTGGACTTGATTTGTGGAAGAGAGATGTTTTTAATAAAACAGAAAAGTTCTTTCATCAAGATGCCTGAACTTTTTCTTTTCAAAGTGACTGCACATGAATAGATTATCCTGTCTGCTTTAATTAATAAATAAATAAATAAAAAGGTTGATGCAATTCCTGCTTCAGGCGTTTCATAGTTTGTATTTTGTTTTGTTGAATACATTAGTCTGATTCGATGACATTGCACCATCAAATAAGAATTTAAACCAGCATAGAAAGAATTGTATTATTATAATTATTATTATTCCTGGCTTTTGACACTGCGTGATTGTCTGTATTCTATAACGTTAGCCGTTTAGTTCTTATCGTTACCTATTTGGATCTATGTATTTTATCCTGTGTACTTTGCTTGTTTTGTTTTTGCTGTACAGCACTTTGGTTAGCCTTGTTGCTGTTTTAAGTTTTTTTTTTAATAAATAAAGTGGTATGATGTGATATTATAGTCCAAAGTAAATGCTGGCCGAGTGACGTAAAGGATGGAATATCTGTTGAAATGTCCAAAATAATGAAGAGGTTCAAACACAACTACAACCAAAATCATACAAAGGAGATTAAAAAAAAGTTTTGTATGTGCTAAACATAAACACAAATTATATAAAACTGCATTAAAGTATTATGAGCATAAAGGTGGACTGTTTTTTGTCTTAGTTACCGGCCCGTTTATAAGAGCAGTCTCTATGTATGTGTTGCAATCTCAAATAATGGGTTGCAGGAAACAAAGTAAATTTGAATATTTATGCAACAAAATCTTTTCCAGAATGGCTATAAGAATAATTTATCATGGATGTCTTTAAACTTCTGCAACTAACCAAACGCCTGAAAGGGAAATAAAGAAAAGTTTAGAAACGGCAGAAACAGGAATGCGTTTAATTCTTTGGAACTGTACTTTTACTTTAAGTGTGATTTAAAACAGTTTTCCATTAAAAGGGTAAATGACCCATAATCAACACAAATTCTAAGTACTTCTCACAGAGTAAAATCTTTATTTTTATGAGGAAAACATCTGCATGTCACCCCTGCTGAGGCTGATTTAGAGTTGTGACTTTTAATTTGTTGCATTTATCTTGTTTGCCTGTACACTGTCCCCTCTCAAGTCCTAGTTTTCTTTTGCGTCTTTTTGTCCAACAACAATGTTTTTCCCCTTCTCCTTCTCCCCCTGGGGTGTCCATAATATTTGGTGAGTCACGTTATGGCAGCCACTTCCTTCATTATTTTATGGCCCCACCCCAGCGAAAACAGCTGTTTCTTGGACTTTTTAAACCAACCACAAGTTCTGACCAAAACAGAAGTGACAGCTCAGGATTAAACAGGAAAACTTCTTGGACAAAAGTCAGAAAACGATGAATCACCAGTTTGATCCAGGCCCTCCTTTTTAGACTTCCAACCACATAATGAGAACTTCTCTACCCGCGGTGAAAAACATGAATTTATTCCATTTTGACATTTTTTGCTTTCATACTTTTAAAAGTAGTTTCAGACGTGTTGCTTTCTGACTGCTGCAAGTAACTTTCAGCACATTTGAGCCCAAGAACAGAGCATACAAAATGTACAAAACCAGCTGCTGTTTATATTACTGACTTGTTTTGTCAGACTATAACATTTTTAGATACTGAAGCAGGAAATACTCACAGCTGTTGCTCTTTTATTGAACTATTCAACTTTAATTGCATGTTTGTTGCTCTATAAAGTGTCCCAAGATGACCTAAATTATTCATGGTGTATACATAAATCAAATGCTTTGTTTCAAAACCAACGATTAGTCAGTGACATCACTTTTTGTTTCTCTGGGCTGGCTTCGAACGTGACGCTGCAGAAACAGGAAGAAGTTATATTTTAGTCTTTGATGGAAACCCGTCTGTCATTTCCCTTTTTTTCTACCTTTGACAAAATAGTTTATTGCAAAATTTTGTTTGAAAGTCATATTTTTTTTGTGTAATTCCTTGAGTGAACATGGCTTTTTAAAATTTTATTTATATCTGATGTCTTTTTTTTTTTTTACAGGAATAGACTTCAAGATTAAAACAGTTGAACTACAAGGAAAGAAGATCAAACTACAGATATGGTGAGTCTGAGATTGAGCTTTTCTGTACGAAGATTGTTGCCAAAGCTTTTCACAGCATGCATCAATGGGCATTCGCGAGTGAGCAGGGCTGAAAAATGCTCAGTATTTTTAAATTCCCATGCTGCGTGCTCAGTTTTTGCCTTTTTGTATCGTTGTAAAACATCTGTTCGACATAACTCCCTCATGGACTGAAGTATGCGAGAGCAGGAAATGGTCATCAGTCCGTCTGCTGCAGGGTTATCATTGTAGTCCACAACATCTGGTTTCACCCAGCTGGAAATGACAGTTTGATTGTTTTCTTATCAAGTCTTAAGCACAAACATGTCAGAACTTGAATATTTAACTAACTGGGAACTGTATACAAACCATCAATTTGCTTTCATTTTCTTTACTAAAACTTTCACCTTTTTTTTCCACCAAGATATATTATTACTGTCTTAAAAAATACATTTTATGTGATTCCTAAGCTAGTATTTTTAGAAAACAAGGACATAGTGAAAATGTCTTTACAGAGGTGCTGGATAGTCTTGCTTCCAAAGATATATGTATATTTTTACACGCATGCACACAGTAGGAGACAGTTGCTGGCCAAGTGTATTTTTGTTACAGGAGCATCTATTGTGTTCATTCATTCGGTGCTTATCTCCATCTATCAAATGGAAAACTGATACCTGCATGACAACACCCACTGCCACATTATTAACACAAAATGTTTTTCAAACCTAATTTATAAAACGTATATTAGCCTAAACTTAAAAAAAAAAAAATAATCTACCGCTGTTTTACCTTGTGTTTAACAAATAATACGATATAATTCAGGGGTCGACATAAGTGGTTTCCGATTGTCCGACACGACCCATTTTTATCTCGGACAACCAGATCTGGCCTCGAGGTTGTTTGTGGACAACCAAGCGGAATAGACGTGGATCGAAGTTCTTCGTCTCGTTAAAGCCATCCAATCTAATGGTGATGCAGAGATTAAATTGATGCTGCTTTCAACAAACGAAGAGAACCAGAGCCACAGTTTGACCCAGTCGGAGCAGAACAGGGCGGGTCGTTCCGTCTGATACACGGCAGGTGTGTTCCCAACTCAGACAGGCTGCAGGTGAGGGCACCAATCTGTGTTTCCTGGACTATTTTACAAGGAGGACACCTCGCTACCCTAATCGAAGGCGACATGCAATAAATTATTAAACTTCTACGTATTAAATATACAGATACCAGAACAGAAACATGATCACCCCCCGCCCTTCCTCCAGCACTGCGCCCTGACCTCCCGAGGACTTTTGTATCTAAAATTTAACTTTGCATCAAAAGTTAACGCGATCAGACCGAGCGCTGTCCTGAAAGGAGACTGGGCCACCGTGGGAGAGCTCCGCCTGTTTGTCTCTCACAGTGAGAGAGCAGTTTCTGCTGCTTTAATTCTTATAATTAAACTGTTTTAACAGTAAAAGATAAATATTTATACGCCCCAGATTATAGCAGAGATGCTTGTTTAACTTTTTTTTTTTTTTACCTCAAACTCATCAAGTTCTGTCTGTGAGAGGGTTCAGGTGTTTGTAGTTTATCATTAATATCTGCAAACTTAACTTAAACTACACACCAAGTTTTAACAAAAATAAGGTTTTGTGTCTTTGGATGGTTATATACTAAATATGGTAAATACTATGCTATTTAATAAATCATCAAATGTGATTTTTTTTTTTTTGAAATACATGAACTGAAATCCAGTAATTATACTCCCTTTGAATAAAATCAAAGTCACTTTATTGTCAGAACTGCAATATGTACAGGACATACAAAGGATTGAAATTACATTACTCTCAGACCCCTGGTGCAACAATAACCATTTAACATTAAACATTTAATAAACATAAGCATAAAATGAAATAATGAAAGTATGATATTGTCTTAAATTGTAGTGTGGCGGTATAAACATTTTTTTAAAAGTATATCTATAAAATGAAATGAAGTGAAGGTCCTGACATTCACATTTGTAGTAAGTGGCAAATCAGCATATGAAGTGAATGTACACAGTGTATGTATGAAGTCCTTGATATTGGTGTAGGTAAAGTGACATATGCAATAAGGCTAGTAAAAATATATATATTAACAGTAGTGTATAAATATAAACGGCAGTGCGAGTATAAACAGTAGTGCAAAATGGTCATTTTAGAGGAGAAATCTGTCGGTCTGGCAAATAAAAAAATTATTTTAAGTTAAGTTATACTCTGCAAATGATCTCTATGCTATTTATTTTTTTATATATCTGTCAACCCCTCAATTAATAAAATTGAAATAACACAAAAGTAAACTAGAGAATATTCTTCAAACCGTCTCCTTCAGAATGTTGGTCTGCATGGTGCAGGTTAGATTCTTACTACTTCAACGCTTCATTCTGATCACATGTTTGAGTAACCAATGGGTGTAGAACAAATTCAGTCTGTTTTTCTGCTTTCATCTGCCTTAAATACACGGAGCGCCCCACGTCCAAAGTCAGAAAGTTGGAAAATAGTTTGTTTTTTAAGTTAGAAAATAAGAAATTGTTTAAGTGAAGCTCTCGGATCTTTCTTTTTTTATGATTCTGCAGATTAAAGGTCCAGGCCTGTAGTTTACCTGCTGAGGATTATAATGATTTTCTGGGTTTAGCTTCTAAATCACAGCAGGCTTTTCAAGTGTCTCCAAGTTAACATTAAATCACAGCTTCTGAGCTCCGAATCATTATGTACCTGGTCTGTATTTTGTTGTTTAATTGCATAATTTGTATTTCAGTCTCAGGTGATTAGCAGAGAAGTTGGCTACGTGCTAGAAAGTTAGTTTAAAGATGGAAAGGAGAGTAAAGGTAGCATCTCGCTGGTCTTTGAGCACGTTCACGTTTCAAACGTCTCAAAGCTTTCACTGAACCTGAAGTGGGCAACAAGTTAATGTGCGCAGCCTTGAATGCAGCTTTACAAGACGTGCACATAAAAATAAGTTGTGATTTTCACAAACTGGCTGCTCAGAGCACAGTTCTCTGATTACTTGATTGCAGACGCTCAACGTTCTCTTGGTTTGTTTGTAATTTAGAGTCAACGATCAAGAACTATAGATACTACCTTAAGTGCTTAGTTTAAATATATGATTAAAGTATGTCCCCCAACATGCTTTACCTCATGAAAAAATAGATTTTGTAACAAAAACATTTAACATTTAGTGACCTCTTTACTGTCATAGTTCCAAAATGTAGAATCCATCTGAGCTACAATGCAGTTTTAATCAAAATAAATCATTGAGCTAGAAAGTACAGAAACTTTCTACAAAGTATAAAACAAACTGTGCCACGTTGTTTGTTTTACAGTTGAACTTTGTGCAATAAAAGTTTTGTACGGGAGTCTGGGATATTTTTTTTGTGCACATCTTCAGTCCGGCCTCGCCGAGAATAAAAATTAAGAATCTGTCAAACTTTGTAGTTCAATACCCCCCCGTGTAGTTAAGTCATGTATTGTTACCGTGTGGATCTGACCCATTTGTTTGGTTCGACGGCTGGAATTAATTGGGAGAAGATGAGTATAAACAAAGGTGTTTTGTTTGCAGGGACACAGCGGGCCAAGAACGGTTCCACACCATCACCACCTCCTACTACAGAGGAGCGATGGGCATCATGCTGGTCTACGACATCACCAACGCCAAGAGCTTTGAAAACATCAGCAAGTGGCTGCGCAACATCGATGAGGTGAGACCAAGTCCGCCCCGTCTTCTTCATGCCGTGTCTAGCGTTTGCTTTTTTTCTTTTACATACTTTGTTTTTATCTTGAAGCATAAAAACGGTGATAATTCCTTCAGGAACGCAGCCAACAGGAGTAAGAACCAGATTAACTGAGTGTAATGAACTGTGAAACGGGAGCGCTGATAGGAAATCACATTAGGCCGTCCAGATGTTTGCATGCATCAGTACTGAAGACTGTTTATACTGATCATTTGCAAGGCTTTCAAGCAAACACAATATATTTTTAATTTTATTTATTTTTTGTAACCTTTGCATCAAACTCCTTAGACTGTGATTAAAAACTCCCAAGTTCATGCTAATCCTTATTGCTCACTGTGCCTGTTGGCATGGAGGGCAGCAACAAAGACCCTCCAATCTGTTCTGGGCCAGCATCTGGATGGTACCCCAGGTGTGGTTTAGGGTCTTCATCTCTACTGTTTGTTGCCCGGCGTTCTTCAGACTGCCTCTTGCACTTGTCTTGTGATGTTCAGGTTGTGAAAGTATTACCAGGTTCTAGGGCTGGGTGATATGCACCAAAATTAATATCTCAATATTTTAAGATTAATGGCAATATATAGCTTAAAATTTGTTTTTCCCGTAACGTAATAACAAAAATATATTTGTCCCAATTGTCACAAAGGCACATTCATTAACAAACGGCTGCAACTGTACAAAACGTGTGTGTAAAAAAATAAACTGTTTACATATATTAAATAACGATCCTCTTCAGCTGCGGCGCCTTCACGACGTGAATCAGAACGTGAGGGAGAAGGATGGGCCGCGTGAAGATGGCGGCGCAGACGGGCAGAAAAAGAACTACACGGACTTTGAAGTCTTAATTATAACGCAGCGTTAAAACATCGATACAAACAAAATAGTCCCATCTTATTTAGAAATTATCTGAACATTTTAAAATATCGAGAGATCGTTCAGCCCTACCAGGTTCTTTCATAAGCACACACCCAGTCCACCTCCACCTTCTCATGATGAAGGTCTCCGTGCTGCCTTGACAACGAGCAGTGGTTTATTTGAGCTGGGACAGACGATGGTCGGGATTCTTCGCAGCCTCTTCATCTTCCTTGTTTTTTTTTTTTTGTTCCGTTAGCCTTTTTATGATTACGGCTATCTCTGGAAAATATTATTCTGCAATGGGATTTATTCTTCTTCATCGAATGAACCAACTGGATTGGTGAGGCTAGATTAAATTTATTTCACATCATCTGCGCTCGTAGTTCTTGGCCAGAGGAAATGCTATAAAACTCTGTGGTAATCAGGATAGCAGCGGTGCACAGAAAGTGAAATAAATTAAGTGAAGCCGTCTGGTCCAGGCTGCTCGTTAAAGCTTTGTTGGAGGTTTCTTCTCACTGGTAAAGAGGAAAAGTAACACAATGAATTTCCTGCTAACTCAGAACTGGGTGCACCGTGGCCTCTGAAAGCTTGTTTTTAACTCCGCAGAAGTTGTTTATTAATATTTAAAAATAAAATGCTGTTTACAATCTCTTGTTCTTGACGTTTGCGATCCCACGGAACAAGTTTTCATGACTACCCAATGACTCGTTAATAAACTGAGACATTTAAAATGCTCAAATTAAGCTTTTGTTTGTGATGTGAACCTTTTCAAAAGTAATTTTTGTCTCTTTGTCAACGGAATAACAAACGTACATAATCTGTCAGTAAGTTCTTGATTTCTTCAACATAAATGTGCTATATTATTTATTTATGCTTTCTTTGTCCTAAATATGACATCATGCTTGCTTGAACTTTCAGAAACAGACATTATAATCGTGTTTATCTGTTGGGAAAAATATCCCGTAGATCACTGGACAGATTTCTGTGAAACGTTTGGAAATTAAACCTTTAGAGGAAACCTGATTTAAGATGGCTGATGCACACTTTAACCGGCTCTAAAATGGCTATAATGAATTAAAATGTTGAAATATTAAGCTACCATTTGTTGCGTTGCAATCTTTAATCTTAGTTAATTAAGATTAGATTGCTTAATTAAACTTTTAACACAATTTTAAATCTTTAATTTAAGCAACCATATCTTTAGTCTAAAAGCTCTGGCATTTCTTCAAGGAGTCTTTAAATATAATGAAAGTTTTTCAGTTGTCGTTTACCTGACACAAGTCTTCTAATAGTAGTTTGACTTTAAAATGTCAACAAATACATTTCTTTAAACTTACCGTTTTGTTTTTATTTCCTCTGCATGTGTTTCGGTAGAGAATGTTGGTGGGGTTTGTACACAGTAATTGCTCATTTCTAACTCGGTTGAAATCTTCGTACCTGCGAACTTGTTGCTTTTCGGCGAAATTCACCGATTTCAAACAAAAATGTAATTTATGTGAATCATGTAGATTCTAAGAGGTTTTTTTTTTTTGGTGGTGGGGGGTGTCGGAGGCATGGTGGATGGCATAATTTCCCTTTTAAGAAATGGTGTGCTTCCTCGGCCACTTGGCAGTGCGCTCATCTCTTCAGGGGTGTTTGTCGACAGGGTGAGGGGGAGACACGTTCGCGTTGCGTGCTAGCTTACTGCTATGTAGAGTTGCTTTTGAGCCCAAAAAATCCAACCCGACCCTATCCCATAGCTGTCATTTACGAACCCCACCCAACGAATTAACAGTAATCACAGGTCTGAACACCCCCCCCTCCCCCCCATCCTCGCCGGACACCGCTTACATTTCGGTGCTCGCCCACTCCGTGTCCTGTCCGCCTGCACGCGCGCCGTG